TGGAATCGTTCTCTCCTCGGATTGGAGAGGAGCAGTGCTTCATCCTCCATTTTGTTTTGGACCTGCATCCACAGCAGCACCATCACACCAAGTAACAGCATTCGCTCTGCTTATAAAAGAAGCCGGTGGAAAATATTTTGAAGGAACAAAAAAAAAAGAAGGAACAGCAGTCTGGTAAAACGATAGCCGCTTTATTCCAACGCGGCTCCACACAACTCGGAATGAAGCTCGCTTTTTCGGGGCGAAAAATTTAAAACAATCCATAGGAGTGGATTTAAGGGGCGCAAGGGGACGAGCAGAGGGGAAGAGGTGTTAAGCGAAAAAACGGGGATATATGAGGGGCGGGGGGGGGTGAAAAGAAATGTTAAAATGAGAGAGAAAGAAAAGGATCAGAAGGAGAGAAGTTGGCAGAGACTGTGTCGGTTTGAAAAAAGCTGGCACTTCCTAAACGGAGCTGCAGCTCCGGGTGCCGAGCGCTGCCAACCAGCCCCACCACCCTGAATCTGTGCCCCCCCCCCCCCCCCCCCCCTCTCTTTGTTTCCGCCGTGGCATTCTGCATCATCCCCATTCTCCACTTTATATCAGCGCTCAGTATCACTCCAGCAGCACTGACTGACATTTATTACCATCAAATGAGACAATAAGGCGAACACATTTAAAAAAAGGTTTTCATTATTAGTGTTCATTTCAAGGATTTGATTTTGAATGTGAGAGGATTTTTTGTGTATGAATGTTTTGTTTTAATTTGAGACGTTTTTAAAATAAAACAGAAAAAGCCACAAGGATGGGGGGACGGGGGATCCGGCCCGTTTCTGTTTTTTTCCTCTGTCCCAATTACAGGGCAGCCTCCCTCTGCGCTCTGCTCCACCGGACCGAGGTGCGGGGTCGGACCGGTCCAGTAAAAGAGATGCTTTTGCTGTCCTCACCTCTCTCTCTCTCTCTCTCTCTCTCTCTCTCTCTCTCTCCCGCGCCTGAGATGCGTATGTTTTTAAGGGACGGACGGATTTCCGGCCTGGCGCCTGTACAGAGAGAGACGAGGACCTGGTCATGCAAATTTGCACGCTGAAACCGGACCAAAAAAATAGAAACGCACAAAGGAACCAGAGGGAAAATGTGCTCCTGTTTTGTCGGAGAAAATCCATTCAGGAACACATTCAAATAAATGCATTTTGATTTTCCTGCGTGAGTTTGCTGTATTCATTCATGTTGTAATGCGTATAATTAAGCAAATGAGAATCAAATACATTTCTCTTTGTTAAATGTCAGTATAACAACAACAAAAAAAAGGTGAGCTGAGCTGCTAAATTGCTAAAGAGACACCACCGCGTTTATTTATTAACCTTCATTACACAAAATAATTAAAAATCACTGTACAGTGAAATTGGGAAATAAAGCTAATCCATGTCGCCCACAATGGGCACTTTCTGGTACGGGGCCCTTCTTCTATTTGCAGAGCTCAGACCTGACCGTTGTTTCAAATTAGACTTAATTCAATCATATACTCGGTCTTTTGTGCATCTCTCCCAGTATTATTCACTAAACTGGATAATTAGAGCGAGTAGGGAGCGGGTTGGCCTGCTATCGAGAGCTGCTCAGCGGTCGGACCTATAGAGGTGCAGAGCTGAGAGAGAAGTAAAGGTCTGCGTAGCGGCTCGGCTCTCTTTCACCAGATTCATTTGGAAGCTTCCGATCATACTGGAATAATCTGATTACCAGCGGTTCCTCAGACACTCCGCTTTTCTTTTCTCTTTCCCTCCGTCTACGACACACACACAGAAAAATAACAACTGGAAACACTGGAGGTTGTGTAAAATGACTGACGCTGTCCCGTCAAACTTTACTGGACGCATTATTTTTCAAACGACAACAAAAGGCGTAAGAACGTTTTCTGTTGACAAGTATCGGACCTGTTTTTACACACACACACACACACACACACACACACACACACACCGGATGCATGCGGCTCCCTCGGCGCCGGCGCTCCCTCTCGTCGGCCCGGGTTACGGACCACGGTGCCAGAACGAGGGAGCTTTAACTTTTCTTCTTCTTTTTTTAATCATTACGATTGTCTCTTTTCTTCCGACTGCAAAACACTCAGCGCACTGACAGGAGGACATCACCTCCCTGCTGGTGTGATCTTATATTAAAACCTGTTTGGTCTCCTCTTCATTACGGGACTGCATCTGATAACGCCGCCTCCCTTTGGAAGCTCAGGATATTGGGCGAGCCAGATGAGATGTGCGTTTGATGGATTGGAAGCCTCCCCATCGACTCCCGTCTTTATTCGCCTCTATTAATAAAAAGATATTCTGGCGGCCGATTGTGATGTAGGGACTACTGGTAAAACAAAAAACGCCGCCATCGAGGAAAAATACGGAGCACACTTCTCGAAAAATACGACCCGATCTGGGGGTCTCTAGGTGGAGGAGGGGTCGCGGCAGCCAACTGGCGAGCCGGACTTTAGTTTAGGACAGACGTGTGATCAAACTCACCCACACCTCTCTCTCTTATCTCCATCACATCCTGAACCATTACCGTCGTCATCGAAAATGATAAAGTGATCTGTGTGTGCGTGTGCGTGTGTGTGTGTGTGCGGCCAGGTATCTGTCCAAACAACATTTTCGGTTTTGGGACCTCGCTTTCGCAGCTGCAGAGCGGGAGCGCAGATCAGAGCCGAGTGGCTGTGAGCGGTCCCGGGGCCCCGAGTCTATAATTGGACAAAAGCAGAGACACATACTGTACTGTGGAGGAAGCAGAAACAGGGGAGTGGGGGGGGGGGGAGATCTCCTGTCAATCACGCCCCTTGCAGCTGGCGACGGTGACATCAGCGAGGACGAGAGAGAGAGAGAGAGACAGAACTGAAGCGCCGCGGCGGGAACAGTGGGGGAGGAGGGGGGGCGAGGCGGCCGCGGTCCAACCATCAGCTGGCGACCGACAGCTTCCGCCAAAGACACAGACACCCTGGAAAAGGGGAGCTAAGAATAAAGCTGTAACGCTGCCACCCCCCAAAGGTTAGAGCCAGTGTCTGCCCTTCTGTAAACTCTGGTTAACCCCACACTGCCTCCCGCTACACAGAGCAGCTTCAAACAAGAGCATGTTTCTGTTGTTTATTCTCGGTTAGTTCCTGATGTCGTCTCCAAAGCGCTACTTCATTTACGGCGGACCACAAGCCTTTTTGTTCATTTTAAAAAACACGCTTATTGACGACTCTCGACTGGGAAAAACATATTTTGAAAAACATATTTTGAAACAGACTCGTGTAAGAATGCTCACATATGTGCAAAAAAAGAAGCACAAACGTCAGTCAGATGAAGGCCAGTGCAGCGTTCGCGTCGGGGGGGCGAGCGGCTGCTGGATTCTGGCACACAGTGGACAAAAAAAGAAGAAAAGAAATGGAGGCTTTACTCTGAGGGGCACCAGGCCGCCGCGCGGGGAGCTAAACTGAGCCACGGTTTTTTGCCACGCCGCATTGTGGGACGGGAAGGGGAGGCCCCTGGGGGGGGGGGGGTTCGTCACATGGGAAAAGTACTGAGGTCCTGTAGCTGGAGACCCAGGACGACACACCTGACTCGACCTGCTGACACCAGACACAACAGACCGACTGCTGTCGAGCAGCTTCACGGTGAAAAAAGGCAAAACATATATTTGCACGTTCTATTTGTTTCTATTGTAAATGAGCACATTTGAAGGATTCGTGTTGTGTAAATATGATTAAAAATAATCACACTGAACAGCTACACATGAGAGCCACTGTTTGCCCGACACACAGCACCCCCGATACACCGTCAACAGCTGGTTCACTGGATTAAAAGCCACCTTTTAATTATTTAATTATTTTAAACAGAATCACATGACACACTGCACACCTCCAACAACTATTTAAGTGGATTTTTAGGCAATGAATAATAATTAATATAGAATTTTAGTAGCTTAAAATGACGAAATATTATATTTTTGTTTTATATCAGAAGAGTTTCTTTCCTTTTTTTTTGCAAAAAAACAAAACACAGTTAATTATTTAATATTAATATTTTAATTTAGTGTTGCTATTTGGTAATAGAAAAGCATAAATTAAGTATGAAATTAAATGTGAGTATTAATATCTATTTGTTTCCTAACAAACAGAAATATTCCCACCTTTCCTATCGACGGTGCCAACGTGCCCTCAGCAGAACACAGGCAGCTTTGTGTCCACATGACACAGAAATATATTCGCCGCCTCTATTTTAACTTTAAGGCCACAGCAGGAAACACGTGTGCCGAATATGGAAAAGCAAAACATCTGATGAACAAAAACCGCGCCGCCGCAGACGAAAAGGTCTCAACTGTGTGTGTGTGTGTGTGTGGATAGGCCGAGGCTGCAGACTCTCGCTGCCCCCTAAACTACCTGGGACCGAGCCAGCTGTCACTGAACTCCAGACCACCACACACACACACACACACACTTGCCATAGATACACACCAATCTCACAATAACACACACATGGATACCAAACACATGACCTACACACACACGTATACACATGCATGCACACACACAGAGATAAACAGGCTCGCAGATGCTTTTGTTTACCCATGTCACCAGAAAACATGCACATTTGGATTTGGACAAATTTGCGCACAAATACTTGAACAAATGTACCAACGCAAACAGATCTCGAGGCAAACAAAGGTTTTAAGCCCGGCTGCCGAATTCTCCGAATATCTTTAAAACCAGATAGAAACTGTAGTCTATTTATTTATTTATTTTTAAAGATGATCCTGCGCAGACTGTCACATTAAATGTCACGTTATCACTGCCCTGACGGCGTACATCAAAAGCCTGGCACTGGTTCTTAGTGAAGAAGGGGGGTCTAATCTGTGACTCGCATGCCAAAGTGTGTGGGACACGTAGCACACCGACCGACCCGTGTGTGTGTGTGTGCGTACCAATGGACAAATTCTCCAGGGGACGTGTGTGTTTGCGGTGTGGGTAGGGTGCACAGTAACACACGTACCTGGCGAGTGGACGAAATAGGCCAGGTAGAGGTCCAGCTCCTTGACCGCCACTCCGATGTGGTGCGGCTGCACGCACAGGCCGTGGTTGGAGCACTGGGGCGACTTGATCAGCCGCTCGCCGTCCGTGCTCTCCAGGGGGCTGCCCTTGAACAGGATGACCATCACCAGGTCCAGCCGCCACACCTTGTCGGCCTGGCGGAGGCAGTCGATGCGGCGGATCTTGCCCTTCTGGTCGGGGTTGGACAGCACGCAGCAGGGGGGCTTCTTCCCCGTGATGGTGAGCACAAAGTCCTCGCGGAACTCCGGCCGGATGTCCTTGCGGAGCTTGGCCAGCAGGCGCGAGGCCCACTTCTGCTTGATCTCCGGCTTCTCGCCGAGCAGCTCGTCCTTCACCGCGCGCTCCTCGTCCTTGGTCATCCTCTTCTCGTGCTTCTTGAAGTACTTGCGCTTGCGGGCCTGCAGGTTGAACCAGGTGTAGGAGAAGGCACGGACATGGGGGAGGAGGGCCTCGATGAAGGGATGAAATTCATCCTGATAGGGGGGTAGAGAGGGAGAGAGAGAGAGAGAGAGAGAGAGAGAGAGAGAGAGAGAGAAAGACGTGTGTTGTTAGGAGGCTGGAAACAAGGCTTTTAATTTGAAAATCACTCAAATAAAGCTGTGAAAACATTGAGACAATATTAAATGGAAAAAGAGGCAAAAGACTAATTGGGAAAATGTAACAAAATATATGAAAATAGAGTGATTATATTGTCGGCAAAATTACATGTTAATTACAATATACTAAAATATCAACAAAAAAAAATGAAAAGGCAATTCAAATAAATATAAATAATGTAGAAATATTACTACCTATAATAAAGAAATATCAATAAATACGCAGCAATATACAAGAAATCTCAACTGTAAAATGAAAAGCCTCCTTTTTCATAAATAAACACCAAAACATTCAAGACAACAAACAACAACAACAACAAAAGCACAAATTCTAATCCAAAGGCAACAGAAAAGCTGAGCCAAGTTGCGCTCCCTGTTTTCTGCCGCAAGGAGAAGAAGAAGAAGAAGAAGAAGAAAAAAGTTATTCCGCCGCACCGTAATACCTTCACTACATATCTCTGGGCAACAAAGCCCAGATCTCGCCACAGTGCTCCCGTGCCAGGGTTGCCACACACCGGTCGCTCACCGCCGCCAAGCTTTGCTGCCACGAGACCGCTGTTGAAATGTGCAGCTAAGAGATCAGCCATACCATGTCCTATCTCTCTCTGCTATGCATGCAAAGGGGGAGCTCCAACCAGACTCACATTTCCACAACAAACTGAAAGCAGACAGAAATCACCACAGAAAACCACAGTGTGCTAGAGGAAGACAGACGGCCTGGTAGTTACCATTTTGCACTCTCATCATAAATTTGGCACAGCGTTTAAAGTGAAAAAAAAATCTCCTGCACCAGTTTTTTTTTTTTTTTTTCTTCTTCTTTCCTCCCGCGCTCCCCAATGTAAAGCAAATGCTGGTTTGGCAGGCTGTGGAAAGTTAGTAGATGAGGGGGGGCGGGGGGGTTGTAATAAAAATAAAAATAATTAGCAGAATATGCTGCTCACTAAAAACAGTGGGCCAAAGTTAAAAAAAACACCAAAAACAAGAGTTTAAGGAAGACCACAGCCAGCAAAAAAACACCAAAGAAAAAGTACAAATATTGTCTAATAAAAAAAGAAATGTAAAATAAAATCAACAACGGGGATAGATGCACTTGTAAACTGTCCTTTGTGCTTCCCCCCCAAAAAAATGAAAAAAAGAACCTTGAACAAAAAAAAAAAATCCTTGGCAAAGTGTAAGTGGTGGTGGTGTCTGTTCTGATCCCTGGGCCGCGGCGGCACAAGACTCACGCACACACACTCACACACACTCTCTCACACACACACACACTCGCGCGTGCGTGCACAGATGGGGGGGCCAGCGAGAGCAGAGCACAGAGAAGGGAGGACGAGAAGGAAAAAAAAAAAACAGAAAAAATAGAGAGCCGAATCAATGTTGGACGAGCGCATGCGACCGCTGGCAGAGCCGAGTGCTGCTTCTTTTTTTCCCCTTTTCTCTCCAACTCTCTCTCTCTCTCTCTCTCTCTCTCTCCGTTTCTCGCTCGCCGTCTCTCGTCCTCTCCGCGTTCTTTTCCCCGACCATTGCTTGAGCCTTTGCCAAGCGCGAGTAGGGCCCACCTATTTGGCAACCAGACGCCTGTAGCCCAGCCAATGCGTTAGCTTCAAGAGCTGAAAGGGAGGGAAAAGAGAAAGGAGGGAGGGAGGGGGTGGCGTAGCGGCAATGATAGGGAGAGAGTGAGAGGGGGGGAGGGGGGGCGAGAGAGCAGGTGGGAGTGTAGGAGAGCAGCCTCATCCCGACGCCGCACAATTTGCCAAATCGACAAGTTCCACTCTGACACGGAGGCAAAGTTCAAGGGAGCAAGTCGTCTCCTGCACCAATCCCCCAGCAGCCTGCCTCCATCTTTACCATGGCCGCCGTCGCCTCCCCCCTCCTCTCCGTCTCTCCCTCCACCCCTCTCTCCCTGCTTGCATAATGCCACCTTGGCAGAGGATGGCAAAGAGAGGACACGCAGTTTCAAGAATCCCTCCAGACCCCACCGCCGGCAGCTGCTCACAGGTTTTTTGTTTTTTTTTACCACAGCAAACAAAAGAGGGAGAAACAAACCCGGGGTGGCCGCACTCCTCCGACCGTGCACAGTAACACAAAATCAATGACGGGATGATTCAGAAGCAGGGAATGGTTAGAAGGGTTTCAAGGGGGGAAACCTGGATTCGCCTGCGCTGCTAAAGCAGCAGATAAATGGTCAGCGGGAATAAAAAACAAATCTGCCCTGCACCCTTCCCTCCTGGCGAGGGCTTTTTGGGGCGCCGGCGGCTGCCGTGTTGGCTCGTCGTGGCGGCACTGTCATTCAGAGTGGCACCTGCTCCGCAAAATAACAGCTAGTCTGAAGGCAGAATCTGAATCTGGGGAAGGAGGCTTGTGACGGAAAAAATAAACAGAAAAAGATGGCGTATTTAGAAATGTTAGTTCATGTGCTCAGCCAAACGAATTGTCGATTCATCGTTTTGAAGCTCGAGCCTCTCAGCTGTGACGATGAAACCGGGGATCTTTTGGGCAATTCAAACAAACGTTAGGAATCTGGAAAATCATAAAAGGGGTTTTTTTGTGCCGTCTGGCACTTTTACCGATTAATCGAGACGGCGATCGACAGATGACGAAAAACGTCCTGAAAGAATATCTGAGTGTTTTCGCACGTTCTAATTCACAAATTCTGCCCCAGCTCTTCAATAAGACAGGGTGCACATCTTGTAAATTATGACAGAGGTTATTACTGGCGTTCTCGTGTAACAAAACAAAAGGCAGAGGTTCTCTCACTAACAGACATCACGGCCTCCGCTCCCATCAACAGCAACGTGCCTCAGCTTCATCTAACTGCCATCAGCCTGATGAAACGGTCCCCCCCCCGCATATCTGTTAACACAGTGAAGGACCGCACACCTCCGTGCTCGTCCCCGCTTTTGTGTGTCATCGGCCGTGGTTAGATAAAAGCAACAATAAGAAAAGCTGTTCACAAATCTCATTGTGGTGTGTGTAGGTGTGTGTGAGAGAAATATGGCTTCAGAGTTAAATATATTTCCCATCACCACCTGCGACAAAACCAAATCCGGAAACTAAACTGGCACTTGAATGTGATTCATGCTTTTCAGTAAAAAGAAATAAAAAGAAGTTTGTCTGCGTGACCCTGCCAAAATGCAAATTAACCAGCATTCAAATGTCACTGGAATTTCACTCCAAGGGGGGTTAAGTCATTTTCCTTAGCTATGCTATTTGCCTTCCATGGGCTGAAAAACAAGAGGAATAAATCCAGGGATAACTGTTATGCAGATTATTTTCGAACTGCAGTGGGAGAACATACAAACGAGCCTTTCAATGTGTCGTGGGTTAGCTAACTGTAGAGTAGCATGTCTGCGCTATCAGCTGCGCCTCACGAGGCCCGTGTTGGGTTCAGGTCGCTGTATTGTAATGAATATTGTAATGAACTCTTATTTACTTTATGGAGCACACATAAACCATGATGGAAGGTGTATGTCAGTTAATCTTCTTACCTGGAAATTAAATTAAGCCCAAGCGCGCGTGGCCTTTAGCTTTTAATTGGGGTTTAATATCAATTAGCAGCCGGAGCGGACGGTGTGTTTTTTTTTTAACTTCCTGATTAATTTTTTTTTTTTTTAGAGCGGCGCGAATTTCTGACGAGCGCGAGCTTCCGGTGGGTTTCATCTGTTCACCTTAAAAGCCCCGTTAAATAAAAACTGCATCCACTGTGCACGTGTACATTATGGGTCACATTTCAGGCCTGGGAATTTAAAAAAGCAGACAAACAATCCCTGCGTGAGTCTCTCTAATTGACCGCCCGAATTAAAGTCCTGGATTATTTTTCCACCAACATGTTTTTGTTTTTTTCTGGCTAATTCTCTCAAATAGCAGACTCCGTTAATACGACGGAAAAACTCAGCCAAATCAATTAAAAATGCACCGTCACTTTTTCCTCCCCCCTCCCCGCCTCTCCCTTCTCAGAGGGCACTTGAAATATACTCCAAAAAAATAAAAAAGTAAAGCCATCATCGACGGAGTCTGCCAGCAATATAACATGGAAATGAAAAAAAAAGAAAAGACGAGCTGGCATTCCCGCAAGCGACACGATTGTGCTAAACCGTTACTAAAACCCGACGACAATTAATACAGGGAGAGGAGTCCCAAATTACATGGAAATATGTAGTGGAAACGTTGTGTGAGGAGTCAAATGAACGAGCTTCCCTGAGAGGCCCTGAATGACCCAGATCACTGCTGTGAAACGTGAAATATCATGGATGCTGGAGCCTGGATACATCTTAATCTCTAAAGTATTATTATTTTTTTAATAACTAAAAAAATCAAAGTCTGTCCATCTAAAAATAAAAAATGAAACGTAAATATTAAAATGTGTGCTTTGATATTTTCATAATTATTGATATCTAAGCCCCCCCCCCCCTTTCCGTTGCAAAATCGTTGATTTAAATTTTAAAAACGTGCTACATAAAAGACTCATCTGAATTCAAACAGGCTATGACAAGACAAAAGAAATGATTTTGAAGTCCTTTTTTTTTTATTCTCCCCACGTCTGACCGAGACTGCGGAGTTGGCTGCCAACTTCAGATTAACTCTTTCAGTGAGGAGAGAAAAGGCTCTTTACTCTGGAAAAAAGAGGAGTTTGATTCATTAGTGCGTCTGCTAAACCCTCCACAGAGAAGGGTCCACCGTTTACAATAGCTCTTATCTTTAGTTTTTTCTTCTTTTTCATGAATATCCCTAAATCGATACTATTTAGTTATTTGCTATTATTAACACTCAATAAATCAAAAATAGATCAAGAAGCAACATTAACACATTTCAATTTTTACAATAATATATATTTTTTGTAATTTCCCAGCAATGTGGAACGCTGCAGGTCTACGTGAACGCCAATTATCAGAAAATACATGCTGCATGCTTCTATTCCATTTTCTCACACGTTTACATGTTGCAGATAAATGAATAAACATTCAGACTTGATAAACCTGCTAGCAGGGGCCGTCCTGCCTGCCTACAAAGTACATCTCTTTAACGAAAGGCAAATAAAATTCCTGCAATTAGAATTACAGAGCAATTAGAAGAAAGTTTTGTTTTTTTTATTCGGGCCACCTCGTCTGGCTTTATGAGAAACAATGGAGGTGAAAGTCAGCTTTGCTCTAAAGTCCAAAATCCTAAAGCCAAATAATCAAAACTCTGGCACGGTGAAATGCCTTATTTTTGTTGTTGTTTTTCATTCTGATAAATCTTTGGCTTCTGTGTTTTGTTTTCCGAACCAACATTGAAATGTTCCATCTCAATGATTTCAACCCTTTCGAATGCCCAGAATAGGAGTTTTCTCCATAACGTTGTACATATCTTTAACTTAATAAAAGTTAAACAAACTCGTGATGAGAGTCTCCTCCTCTTTCTGACCCATGATGCCCAGCAGCAGGACTCTCGGCCCCGCTCTGGCCCCTGACCTCGCCCAGGCCTACACTCTGCATCTCGTCAGACCAATTAAACCATGGTCTGCATGACCCGAGGGCCTCCCAGGCGCCCGTCCCCTTCATTAGCGCAGCTCTGTGCAGGTGGGGGCCCCAGCTCCGTCCTCTCCTGCCCCGGCCCGAGTGTCCCTGAACCCTGGACGGAGCCCGACGCCGGCTCCCCCTCTGACCTCCCGGCTCGGAGCCAGAGAACAGGGGAGGGAGGTGGCGGAGGAGGAAGAGGAGGAGGAGATTCAATCCTTCACTGAAGAGTCCTATCCTGGATTCATCCAGATGGGCATATTTTATTAACAACTGGTCTCATATCAATTTTTAAAGTTTCTACCATGGGAAAAAGCCATTTTGGGGATTTATATATCACAAGAGGTTTCATCACCCCCAAAAAACTTGTTCCCCGATGCCCTAGAAAGCATGTCTTCTCTAGCTCGCTGTGGTTTCATACAGTAATCATGAACGTGCCTGCTGCATGACCCTCCATTGTTATACAGTAATCACTCCTGTTAATCATTTAAAGACAGAAGAGATGGAAAAAAGTACCCAACACTCGCTGGAGTGGAGTGGAGTGATCCTCTTCCGAGTTTACAAACCGGCACGTTACTATGTGTGAAAAATCTGCAAGCAATTTGCGGTGGCTGCGTGCTAACGTGCCCGGGGTGTGTGTGTGTGTGTGGTGAGGGGGGGGCTAAGGAAGAGGCACGCATGGCACATTCCTGTCCCACAAAAGGGGCTCCACTGCCTGGCTGCACAGCAAAACCCAACTGGGCTTTTCCGTCCTCTGGCTCTGGAGGTCCTGATTATCCCCCCCCCCCCCTACGACTACCACCAACATGAGCTACATTTGTTTGACACGGAGGCCCGGTTCCATCAATATGCATCACTCACGTATTGCGCAACGTGTACATGAATTAACATGAGAAACACGGAAAGGGTTTTGTGTGCTGAAAAACAGAATAAAAATCATCTGTAAATGCTCTAGAAACATTGAGAAAGCAGATCACTTTAGGGCTGTTTTTAATTTTCTTTGTGTTAGAGATTTAATAAAACAATGTCTGTTCCTGCATGAGAACACATGTTGAGACGGATCCTCCTGGATGCAGTTGACAGTATTGATGAGCGCTGTGGTGGTGGGGGAGGGGTGGAGGAACTCACCGGCGTACATCCTGCCCAAACGTAACGCGGCACGTGATAATTGCGCGCTTGCGTGTCAACTACGAAATCAAGGTGTGCACACACACACACATACACACGCACACACACACGCACACAGTTACGCCGTCGAGAAGGAATGTGCTGCTGGATGAAGGAACCCGCCCTAACGCGTGTGTGCACGTGAGTGAGTGGGCCGTGCCCGGGCAGGCCGACTCGGCACCACAGTCAGCCATGACTGGAGTGTTTTTCTCACCGTGCCAGCCAAACAGACTACTACTGCTCACTCTGCTGCCAGTGCGGGCTGAGTAACGGCGATACTACTGACTGGACCACGATGTGGTGTCCTGTTATTGGTGTCTTTGCCTCGACTTTACGTATCACGCTCATTTCCAGGGTCATAGTTTTTTTCTGGGTTTCTACTAGAACATGTTTACATGGTTTAAAACATGTTTACATGCTTTAATGTTTATAAAAACAAGTCTTTATTAGCCATAGAAATTAAATAGAAGTAGAAGGGACATTCCCATTCAAATAAACGTAGCGGAACGGTCAGAGCGGCGGCCATTTTTATGTGTGCTGTTGCCATTGCGACCATTGTAGCGGGCTAACTTACGTATAAACTAGGCTCACTGAGGTGAGCTTTTGCAGTAACGACTAATATGAGCAGAGGAGTTGTAGCGTTATGAGGTATAGAGAGTCAGAGTCAAATTATTATTCTTTATCCTCACACTATTAGTCACTTGTAGGAAAGATCATTGCCATCATCAGCTGAGTGACAATTTTGTTTGAATGTGGAATTAGCTAGCTACAAGTTAGCCGAACTAGTTAGCTAGAACTAGCTGACAGCTGGTTAGTTAGCTAGCTTACTATCTTTAATACTACACTGGTTACAGAAAATAAGCCAAACAGCAGGCTGGTGGCCAGCGGCAGGGCCGGGTATAACGGACCCTCGGTATTAAGCTACCTAACATTAGCTATCTAGCTAGGCATCCATCTCGGAAGCTGCATCCCCGCTTCTTCCCAGCGAGCAGCAACGCTTTACGGACCCACTTGACGTGCGTTGTCACCATCACAACTAACAAGAATCGCCATTTTCTTTTGTACTAGTCAAATGACCTTGGAAAACAGTTCAATGCTCGTTCTCCGATTCTATTTCTGAATACAATTGACCATTTTGATACTTTCACATAATTTATCTCGCACTTAGACCAGCTTTATAATTGTAAAAAAAAGACAGACCTTTTACAATATGGGGGCCTTAAAATAAAACAATCTAAACTAATATGACGGGGGAGAAAAAAGTACAAATGTTTACACAATTTCATCAACCAAGATCCAAAAATAATAAGCCTGCCAAAGTGGCTGGTAGAGTAGGGAAGCTTCCAGACCACAGCCAGCTTTTAGCAGCATTTGGCTGGTGGCAGGTGTTCATTTTCTACCCTGGTAAAAACCAGCTCTGTAATCGGTAAACACTACGCGCCTGGCCCGCAACAAAGAATCGCATTTAGCAAATTCATTCACTTTGATCCTTGCATTCTTATTTCGGTTTGACGGGAGGTGATTCATTTCTGATGAACGTGTCAGAAGCATTTCATCGTACCAGAAAGTGAGATATCATGTCATTATAACGGCACATAAGAAGCCAGTGTGCCTGGTAGCCATCACCGTGTAGCACATTATCTTTGATCTCGGCAGCCTGATGCGTGGTTGACACACGTCACGGAGGACTACGAGCACGTTGACTCATCAACAGGCTCAAAGCAGAGGGACGTTACACCATGACTCCTCTCGTGAAAAGATCCTTTTTATTTTGCGTTTTGGAATTAGAATTTCAACACGCCACGAAATGAAAAGGATCTTCAAGGGTTCATGTGTTAACTTGCCGCTTAACAAAGCTGTAGGGCTTTACTTCCCCTTTTGTCAAAGAGACGAGTGTGCGACGCCAAAGTCAGCCCTTCACTCGCCGCGGGGAAAGAAGAAAGTGAGCTGAAACAACACGGATGCGTTTTCAAAACCCCCAAGACGAGCCGGGCGCTCGAGCAGAGCGCCGGCGTTCGCCGTCCTGTTTTGAAGGTAAACAGGTACTTTGATGCACCAAAGGAGATTCGAAACATCCTCCTGGTTGTCTGACACTTACACCACGATTAAAACTCAATTATACCGGTTCCCACATTTGCCTTTGTTTAGTTAATGAGTAATACTGCCTTGTCTCCACCCTCCACTCACCAGGTGCATGAGATGGGTTCACATTGATTTACAAGAGAGCACACGCACACTGTATTAGCACTCCTTAAAGCCTTAAGTTGCTGTCAGATTATATGTTTTTTTCCAGCATTATTATAATACATTACAATACCTTATCTTCAAGCACAATGATACCCTTTCTGACCTCTTTTATAATATATTTTTGATTGATTTGAAAGTAAATTTACCTTAGACAAGTGCTGTACTTAAAGGGCCAGTGTGTAGGATTTAGTGGCATCTAGTGGTGAGGCTGCAGATTGCAACCAACTGAAACTTTGCCCATTGTCCCTCCCCATTGCCAAGCATGCAGGAGAACTACGGTGGCACTATGGTGATACGGAAATGTGATATGCGAATGGCCCTCTCAAGAGCCAGTGTTTGGTTTGTCCGTTCTGGGCTACTGTAGAAACATGGCGGACTCCGTGAAGAGGACCAGCTCTTTATATGCATGATATAAACAGCTAATTCTTAGCTAACAAAAACACACAAACGAAAACACGTTTTTAGTTTCATGTGATTATACACTAAAGAAAACATACTTATTATGGATGTCACGAGATCCATGATACCAAGACGTGAAGGTACTCATCAGGTGGAAAGCTGGTTAGCATTAGCCATTAGCAGCAGGTGGGCAGCACAGTCGTGCAGAGCCAACCGCTAACGGTAAGGGAGGTTGCATTGAGTTTCATTCTGTTGCATTCAAGCTCCATTCAGTAAAGATTTGTATTAGCTGAAGGTAAATTATAACGTCATCATGACGTGTTCAAATGTCATCTTGCAAAATTTAGTTTTTCGTGAGAAACTTGAAGAAATCCAGTCGTTTGAAGGAGATATACTGTGTATTAGAGCGGGAACTATGACCTGTTTAACTTCCTAACACTATACTCTAAGATTATATCGTTTTATTAATTCATTATTTAAGTGCAATTTTGAGGCACTTCTATTCTATCTGTGTATTTCATTTTTTGATACTTTATACTTCTATATCATTACACTTAAATCTTTCTCAACATTTGTCTGGCTTTCTATAGTTATTTTGCAGGTAATGATTGTACATTAAAAAAAAGATGACTTTGTAAAATACAACACATTTGCAAAGATTATGAGGTTGCTTGCAGTGTTTAGTAGTCTCTTTGACATGTTTCAGATGTCTATGAGTTGAGGTTCGACTTCCAATGTGGTCAAATGATGGAATATCACAAAATATCAAAGATTAGAGAATTTTTAAGAAATTATATTTTCGAGCAGCTACAACGTTAAAATGCTGCTGACTGATTGGTTAATGCAACAGTTTTAATCTAATAACGTCAGATATAATAATATATCAGTCGCAGGGCTTTTTTTCTGCAGAACGAGTTTAATGCTTTAATACTGCTGATAAATACTTCATTATATCAATTCATTACGTTTTTGAATGCAGGCATTTGGAAATATCCTTGATTTCTTCTTGTGTGTCATTTTTGTATGAAGCTCCCAAAAAATGTTGGTGTCTTTGGAAATTTTGTTCTCGCTACTAGAACGAAGTCTAGTGCACATCATGAGCTTGAGCATCACTGAGAGAAAAAAAACACCTATAATTTAAGTTCTTTATCAAGTATATAATATCCTTTTCCATCTGATATCATTATTAATTAAATACCTGTATTTTTTTTGTCATTATTGGACAAAGTTAGGGCCCAAAATTTTATTTAAAAGATTTCCGTGTGAGATCGAAAAATGAATTCCCTTCACAATTCACATCACCGCAGAGTTTAAACGACGAGGGTTATCAAGGTCCTGGGTCGCGATGCGTTTGCAGGCATCAAACTCTTAGCGGTCGTTGATGGGTGGCCCACCCAGCGATGTGGGCATGCACATGTACTGTGCTTATAGACCCAGGGCCAGAAATAACAGGCCACTACCATGACATCACCACAACCATGGCCACCATGAGGGTTGGGGGGACAGCTGAAATCCACTGGCTGCCTCCCTGCAGTTGTCCCAGGCTCTGTTTTTTTGTCCATGTTCCCCCGTACAAATTTAAAAAAAATGCTTAGAACACATGAGTCTGTATCGACGCGGCCGTTAACCTGAGCTGGAGGCTCGAGGAGGCCTACGCAGACTTGACAAAACAGGTCGGAAACTTCCCCCGAGCTGCCCGATGTGCTGATTGCGCACGATGTGAACTCTGTATAGCATATGTGTAGAGCCACGATCACAGACCAGGGCCAAGATGGAAAAGAAAGAAAGAAAAACTCCTGCATAGAGGCTCCAGGAAAGTAAAGCCCACTACTAATGCGGTGTTGAACGCTTTGCAATCAGACAAATAAAAGGGGCAATCTAGCACACAATCAAACGAGAGATTTAGCCCGCTTTCCTGCCAACAGCTAGGGACCTCCTCTTTCCGAACAAGGGATGCACTATTGACTACCCCCCCCCCCCCCCCTTCTCTGTCTCTCTCACCAGTCTTCCCTCTCTGCCAGTCTGAAAGGCGTGATGCCAACCTTTTCCACCATTGGGCATGCCGCCCTGCCCTTTATGCAAATGCACCGCCGCAATCCCTAACTCACAACCCCCACTGTCTCACCCTCCACGACTGCCTCCTGTCTCTGTATCCTTTTTTTTAAAAATCGTTATACGTTTCCATTCAAATTAGCCAAGTAACTGAGCTTAAGCCGTAGCCATAAGTTATTAATTAAACCGCCGATGATCTGCGGTCCTGCCTGTATGGCTCTTGAATGAAGCCTGTAGGCCTGTACTTTGTGCGGTGCCCTCCGTGGGCAGAAAGCACAGACCGAAGGGCGAATGTTTGACAGAGGTGTGGTTCTATGTGTCTGTACGAGCCCTGATAAAGAAGGACATCTCCTGGCAAAACTAATGGAACAAAGACAAATAACAGGAAGGGGAAGAGGGGGAAAAAAAGGAAAGTAAGAATAAAGGAACGGGGAGAGAATTTCATGCAATTAGCTGCTGCTTTATGCATTACATTTACATTTGTGTAAACTAATATGTTTAGAAACATATTAAGTGATGCTCCCTTTAACTACCAGAGTCACAAAATATAGAGATGTCATAAGAACGGACACTTCGGTACCAAGTCGATGGCAAAATTCTGAAAACGTGACATACTGGTTTTTTCTACAGCACTGCACCGTAAGAAGCATGAAACTCACTACTGCACCCTATTTTCTCCCTGACAATGCTACGTTGTGAAATCGTCGTGTTGAAATCGTCAAGAGGAAAGCTAGTCAAGGTTAGCCGTTAGCAGCTGGTGGGCAGCACAGTCCTGCGGAGATAACGGCTAACGTTAACGGAGGTTCGATTGAGTTCCAATCATGATGCGTTCAGTAAAAATGAGTATTAGGCGAAGGCTAGTTATAACGTTATCATGGTCTGTTCACATGTAAATGCTTGCAATCCACTTTTAGAGCCAATGGCAGTGCCGGACTTCAGTTTTCTTCAGTTAACTTGCTCGATTAAATGGGAAGGAAGGGGTTAATAATGTGGCTGAAAAGGAAGTCAATCATGGCTGCCACTGACAGGAGGGTTTCACAAGTTGGCACGGGGCTTAATGAAAAAGAGAGGTTAATGAATTAGTGGGAAATAGAGAAAGACTGGACGGACCTTAAGAGTTAACAAAGACAGAGAATTTCATTTTACCTTTATTTCTCCAGGATAATCCCATTTAGATTTAAAATATATATATATTTTTTTACAAAGGGTTCCTGGTCAAGATGGCAGCGTACATAAAAAACATGTAAAAAATACAGATAACAGACGTAAAAACATAAAAGCATTAGTATTTAAAATAAAAGACGAGCAAATTGCATCAATCAAATATTTTTCAACCCATATTAGGGCAAGTATTCAGAGCTCAAATGATCCTTCATCCTGTTTTTTTTTTTTAAATCTTGCATGCTTATAAAATAATCTAGTTTAAAATGTCTCTAGTTCGAATCAAGATGGTTGTCCCAAAACAACAACGGGTTCGAGGCATGACGAACATGAATTGTCCGTAGCATCGGAGGGTTCAGCTTCTGATTTTCTAGCGTCAGTAGAGAACACCGATAAGGAGGCAGTTTGTGTAATATACAGCCTTTTAAAGAAAAATGTACCAATGTCCTTTCCACGGTTCGTATAACAAAAACAAAACAACTTTCTCATACAAACTACAATGACGTTTGCAAAAAAAATAAATAATGTCCCCCCTTGCAGCAAAGGAAAAACAGCATTTGTTTCTATAGTAGAAAACCTAATTTCCCACTCGACACGATGTTTCAAAGACAGAAAGAGAACTTAGATCTATAAAGAGAGGACACGGGGGCTAATGAATTGGAGGACGGTGATAGGGTTAACAAGGAAGAGCCCTGCTAATGCTGTTAAAGCAGAGCTTCCGCTCCTGCCGCAGGCCGAGCCGCACAAACAGGGCGCTGGGTCCACACAAGCTGGACACATTCGAGCCCACACTCGCACAGACACACACACACGCGCACACACACACAACACAGGAAAGGAGCTCGGTCCTAAGACAAACACTGCACGACCAGACACACACACACACACTATATACACAAACACCACTATCTCCTTATATGCCCCGAGTGTAGCATGTGGTCTGTTACACATATTCTTCAGCAACAACGCTGAAAAAAAAATGGCCACAAAGTCAATGTAGGCATTGGAAATGTCATACGTTAAGTAGTCTCTCTTTTTAAAAGAAAAAAAGTAAGCTGCATACGTGAATGGGTCCGAGGACATCTCGATCTCAGTGGCAACAAATGGAAGTCTCCCCCCCCCCCCCCCAGATAAACAAACAGAGACGTCTAAAACCCTTACAGTCTAGACCAACAACGCAGCACCGCAACAATCTCCAAATATAAACTAGCAGCTTTACTTCCCAAGCCTCCACACAATGGCCGTTCTAATCTTCCTGAGAGAGGAGAAGCAAATAAACAAAAAACAAACAGGTTGGTAGAGGGAGAATTAAGACTTTAACACCCTTTCCTCTACTCTGTTTATGCCACCACACACACACACACACACACACATCCCCCCCCCTCCTCCGCCACTTCCTATACAGACTTCCTTGTCTGAAGTTACAGTAATAAAGTTTTCTAAACCCTACGCGGTGCCAGTAAGTGATGGAGGGCGGCGATGAAAGACGAGGGGGGTCAGGGAGGGTGAGGGAGAAGCCTAACAAAGGAGAGGCGTGAAGCTAAAGAGCTAACGGCAACGTCCACACGGACTACATTAGCCTAAATGTTTAAAGTTGCTTCCAACAAATTACTCCGATCACGCTCGTGAATGCGCCATGAATAGAAATAATGTGTTTCAAACGTGTCTATTTTTACACGTAATTAGATAATAGGTTCAAGCACAAACTGTATTTTGGTTGTCTTGCCTGTTTGTACGCATAAACCCGGGTTAAAGAAATAACCCACCGTGGGTCAATATAGCACCAACTGTTTTGAACCAGTGCTTGTGTTTTATACTATTTTAGTTTGGATGTATAACTCAACAGTAAAACTAAAAAATAACACTAACACTGGGTCCAAATTGATGCAACACTGGGTTCACTTTTCTAAAAAAACATAACAGCAGGCTGTTGTTGGGTTATTTATGGTTATAATAAACTGTCCCATAATAATATGTTTATCCTACAAAGCTTTACACATCATATGCACAACACTTTATACAACTAGCAATACATTTGTGACAGTTTTAAGGAAAAACTTGAGCTTGGGGAGTAAAGGAACACGTACATAAACGAGGTAATACCGTCACAGTTACAGAACAAAAGACGTAATCACATTATCAATGCTAAAAATAGGGAATATTAGCAGGATTACAATTTTAACATACATTCTAAAATACAGGATACTTTCACAGTACAGTGAAAGTTTTGTTTGGGCACTTTCCAGCTCATCAAGATCCTTCTATTCGCCGCGAGGCGTGAAGAGACGGTTCGCATTGGAAATGAGCAATCCGCTTCGAATTTTCTGGTCCAGCAAACATGACACAGGACAAACCGGGTTCATTCTATTTCATTTACGTGGGTGCTGCCGCATGTTTAAATCCAGCAACACCAATGTGCCAAATGATTGGAGTCCTTGGATGGTGACAGCATTTTTACAGCCGGGAGGCCGAACTTGCACTGAACCGTGATGTTGTTCCTCTTTTCTGCTTTTCATAGAAAACAATGGTGAAATATCAGCATTTTTCTTTTTTTCTTGTCTTTATTTGCATATTTGACATCGAGGTTATTCAAAAGTAAGCAAGTTACTTTTCATTTTGTGATATTTGGATTATGTTACTGACTATATTGTTTAACAGGTGATTAGTAATTGAATACATTTTTTGAGTAACCCTCCGGACCCTGCATCAAACACTGAGTGAAAATCAGCAGATTTTAGTTTCGGTAAATAAGCAAATAATAATATATTTAAAAAACCGCTGGGTCCAAATAAGCCACTGGTAAAGTAAGCAGTTTTTTTAGTTTATACATGCACCAGTAGACTGTTTCTAAAACTGAACCCAACCCTTTAGATGCAATTACGTCGTCCGCATCAATGAATTAAGGACAATAACGTAACGTTAACAAAAACAGATATCAAGAGAAATATCAGGAAGTATTGGATCGTAATTAGCTTCCATCAGGTCAAACCCGATCGCAGAGAGAAAAAATGGAACGTGTGTGTGTGTTTCGGTCTGTTCATGTGCGGTGGAAGGAGGGAGGGAGATGAATGAGGCCTTTTTCTTACAGCAGGGCCCAGATCAGAGCTCCTAACTATGGGATTTGGTGCTGTTCCCTTTCTCCCCCGAGAGGGAGTAATTAGGTTAGGGGAAGACAACTGCAGCATTGTTTTAACAGAGGAGGGATTGTGCCGGCCAAAGTCCCACCAGCAACATGCTTCCCTCACAACAAAAAATGCCAAACGGATTCTGCGGCGCTCGGACGCACATCCACACAGAACCTGCTTTTATTTTACCGTGGGTTTCCTCTGTTAACTTTTTCACAGAGAGCGAAAAAGCTGTCTTTTTTTTTTTTTTTTCTTTTTACGCAGCGGAGTCTTCGGTGCTGTGTGTATCATACGAAATGTCAAACACAGTCCACCGGTGTTGGGTGTCCTCTGGTGTTGTTGCAGTTGTGGGATTCTGGCTCTTTCGCGGGGACTCGGTTCCCCCTTCAGTGTAGCTGCGTCTACCCTCTCCTGTATCCAGGGGCTTGGCAACACGCACCGCTCCTAACTAGTGTAATATGGTTATGATGCATTCTGCATTCCTTCCAATCCCCCAGGAAACACAATACGCCTATATCGCCGGTTTTAATCACGGCCTGCTTCCAAGGAAAGTAAGAGGAGAATACAAACAGCCACGGACATAAAGAGGCTTTTCTCAAATATACTTCAAGTTCGTTTATACATATCCTCCG